GGCTGCTGATCCAGTACACTCCACACATCCTCGCCACGCTTGGAATGACCAAAGTCCTCATGGGAAGTTACTTGTTCAAGGTCTTCCCAATCCCTGTGCTGGAAGCTCCCCAGAGGCAGGCAGTGGTCTGCAGGCTCTGTGGCCCCTCCCGGGGGCCTGGCACACAGGGCTCAGCGCCTCACAGCTGTGATTGGTTGCAGATAAGAACTGAGCCAGGGTTATCAACCAGGAGGCCAATAGTGGGTCTCTGTGGAGACAAAGAGGGGTGGGCAGAAGCCAGCCTGCAAGGGGTACACTCAAGTGGAGGATGAGGCAGATGCCTGGAGCATCAGGAAGGCTGGAGGAGAGAGGGGGAAAGAAGGCTGGGCTGGTGGCGCACTGTGTAGCAGGACAGGGGAAGGGTTGGTTTGTTGTCTGTTCAGCCCCAGGCAGCTTGACTGACACATTTGCAGGAGAGGAAGAAACTGAGGAAGGGAGACAGGGAAGGGCGGGAGATGCTGGGACACTGCAGGTGGAACAATAGGACCTGTGTGGTCTCTTCGGAGAAGTCAGCTGCCGGAAGGGTTGGGAGGGTGTGGGGAGGGGCCTGGAGGTCAGGAGGGGAGTTCATCGCAAAGTAAGAAGCTGAATCAAGCCAAGGCTCCCAAGCCCGAGGAGGGCTCCTTAGGAAGGTGTCCAGGACCTGCCTTCAGCAAGGGCAGCTTTGCCCAGTGCCCCACAAATACCCCACCCAGGCAGCTCCATCCCTCGCCAGGGGTAGCACTCTTCTCCCCCTCACCCACACCACAGCCCACCCTCTCCTCCCATAGTGCCATAGCTCATTGAGCTCCCTCCACCACTTCCACCCCACGTGTGGCACGGGATTAGTGGAGAGCAGGCTGAGGCCAGACTTTGTATGCAGGGTGTGCTGGTAAATGCTTAACTACCAGCTTGGGGACTGGCATTGTGGCACAGCGGGTTAAGCCACCACTTGCAATGCCGGCAGCCCGTATCAGCCCATATCCAGTTCAAGGCCCAGCTGCTCTGCTTCAGATCCGACTTCCTGCTAATATGTCTGGGAAGGCAACAGGTGATGGCCTAAGCGCTTGGGCCTCTGCCACCCACTGGATGGCAGTGGGAGACCTGGATGGAATTCCTGGCTCCTGGATTTGTCCTGGCTCAGCCCTGGCTATTGTGGTCATTTGAGGAGTAAACCAGCAGATGGAAGATTCTCTCTCTCTCTCCCTTCTACTCTCTCTCTCCCTGTTTCTCTCCCACCCTCTGTCACTCTGACTTTCAAATAAATAAATAATCTTTTTACAAGAAAAAAACAGCTTGGAGGTGGGTAGCCCTGGTTATAGTGTTTGCCCATTTCCAGGGTGTAAATACTCCCTCCATGTCCAATTTTTTTTTTTTTTTTTGACAGGCAGAGTGGACAGTGAGAGAGAGAGAGACAGAGAGAAAGGTCTTCTTTTGCCGTTGGTTCACCCTCCAATGGCCGCCGCGGCCGGCGCACCGCGCTGATCTGATGGCAGGAGCCAGGTGCTTTTCCTGGTCTCCCATGGGGTGCAGGGCCCAAGCACCTGGGCCATCCTCCACTGCACTCCCTGGCCACAGCAGAGGGCTGGCCTGGAAGAGGGGCAACCGGGACAGAATCCGGCGCCCCGACCGGGACTAGAACCCGGTGTGCCGGCGCCGCTAGGCGGAGGATTAGCCTAGTGAGCCGCGGCGCCGGCCCTCCATGTCCAATTTCAAGCGAGCAACAAGATGCCACTGGTTGCAGAACAGGGAGAGCGCTCCATCACACCACTGCCTGCGTCCACTCGTCCATTCTCTCTGCTGCCTCCCTGCCTCCCCCACAGATCTCTGCACTGATGGCAGCCATGGGACAAGGCCACGTCATGGGGCAGGGCTCACCTTGGAGCCTGTGCAGCCTGGGACAGGCCCCTAATAGGGAAAATAAAACTGTTCCTCCTCCAGCAGTGGCCAACCCTTAACCTCACATCCGAGTTCTTCTCACGTGGAACTCTGACTCTCACGAGAACGTGAGGCCTGAGACCCACAGGACCCAGGTGATTCCCAACCACTTTCCCTCTGGACGTGCTAGACACCTTGGGCTGTGCTTAGGCCAGAAAAAAATAGCTTCCTTCCTTCCAAGGCAAACAGAAAAGAAAAAAATGATCTGAGGGTAGGATTTTCCCACTAACGCCCAAAATTTACTCATTCTTCATCACTCTTCTGCAGAAATGAGCAGCTGGCTCCCTGCAGCCCCAAGTCCCTCCCCAGAGCAGAATCTTGGGTCTCTTCTAATGGCAAAGTGACTTTGGGCAACTTCTCTCTGAGCCTCAGTCAGCTGATCCATGAAGTGAGGACAATAATACTATTACCCAGGTGGTGGGGTCAGACAGCAAATGGGGGCAATTTTGCCCCATGGGGGTTATCTGGCAACATCTGGAGACACTTTGCTGCTGTTGTCCCTCTGGGTGAGTGGAGTACTCCTCGCATCCAGGGGACACGGCCAGACTGCTCCAAAAAGTCCTACAATGAATTACCCAATCCCCAAATCCAAAAGAACGGTCTCCCAGGCAGTTGAGAAACTCTGGACTGGGGTGAGCATTCAGTGAGGTGGGCGTGCACAGCACCTAGGAGGGTCTGACTGACTTCTTTTAAGTTCTCAAAACACAGAAGCTGCTGCTTGGAACAGCACGGTTTCAGCCTTCTAACTAGATGAACCCCAGACTACTGAGAAGCCGGCTCACTGCTCCAGGTGTGAGTCATCCTGTAAATGTCAATTTATTTTATTTCAAGCAGAGCTGAGGCTGCACCAATGACTCAGGGCTAGATGCCCTCCCAGGTTGCTGAGGCTCGGGCCAGGAGGAAGTAGTTTTGCCCCAAAGCTCTCCTTCCAGGGGGTAGAGCATTTCAGGATGCTGGCGGGGGGGGGGGGGGGCACTGTCCTGTTTCTCCCCACATGGCGGGGCCTGGAAAGGCCCGAGAGGCCTTGTTCGTCCTGAATATGTTCCCTTCGGGTGAGCAGTGGTTTGTTCCTCCCCTGCAACCTGACAGGAAACTCCTCCAGGGCTGCAGCTTGAGATCAACACCGTTCCTCCCCTCCCATGAACACACACTAGTGGTAGTGGGTAGACTGAGACACCTAATATTGAGGGGGGGTAGGTGAGGACATGCAGGGGACCCTGAACCAAGAAGTGTCCAGGGAAGATGGGTAAGAATGTCCTAAAGAATGAATGGTTGGGGCCGGCGCTGTGGCGCAGCAGATTTAGCCTCCACTAGGGAAACCCACCTCCCAAATCAGAGTGCCTGGTTCTGTTTCTGCTTCTGACTTTGAGTAAAACCCTGGGAAGCGGCTCCGTCACTTGGATCCCTGCCTCCCACGCTGGGAAGCGCAGACTGAGTTCTGGGCTCTTGGCTCTGGCCTGGCCCATCCCCAGCTGTTGTTTGCATCTGGGGACCAAACCAGCAGCTGGAAGAGCTCTGTCCCTTTTACTTTCAAACAAAATAAACCTTTTAAAAGGGAGCGAGAAAGGCAAAGGCGAGGCAGGGAGCATCCATAGGCTCAGGCTGTGCCCACGTCTTTCCTGAGAAGTGGCGTGCCCAGAGGCAAACAGGTGGTGGGAAGAATGAGATGGCATCAAAGGCTGCTGACACCAACCTGCACAGCTGGCCAGGCTGTCTCTCCGTGACTCACTGAAACGACTCTGGGCTCTGGAGGTGGAATGAGCTTTGGGCTTCCCAGCCAGTCGGTCAAGGGCAGAGACAGGAGACACACCAGAGGCTGTCTGGCTCCGAAACACAGACTCTAAGGGAACCATACTGGGGTCACAGCCTCCAGGGGCCAGACAGACGGCACGAGGTTAAATGGCTGTGTATAAGAGGACAGGGGCTATTCAGAACCTCAGGCTTTTGGGTATTCAAACTCAAATAAAAGCCGGTGGGCCAGCCAAGCAGAACATATTTTTGGCATGGGTGAGCGGGGGAAGCCCTCGAGTTTTGAGTGTTCCGTTCCTGTCTAAACAAATGGTCCTCCCCGTCCACCAACTGCACCCACAGTGGGATCACAGGGGTGGGTGCAGAGCTTCAGAGAGCGGCTTTGAGCCACCAGAGTGACTGCAAGGGGGTCCTGAGCACTTGGTGGCCAGGCCTCGGCGTAAATACGTCCACAGCGGGGTGCGCCTTCCCTCTCAAGCCAGCTTTGGATGGGGCCTGCCAGCCAGGACACTAGAACCATCACCACACTTGCCACGGGCCCCTGCCGGAGGCGGGAAGCCCAGGGCAGAGGCTCATCTTGTATTTTGCAAACTTAAAAAAAAATTAGTCTGGAACTTTTTTTTTTTAGTTGATTGATTTTTTATGTATCGAAGCGGCAGAGCAACAGAGAGAGCGGAGAGAGCTTCCATCCGCTGGTCACGCCCCAAATGCCGGCAACAGCCAGGGATGGGCTAGGCCAAGCCAGGAGCCAGGAACTCCCCCTGGGTCTCCCACGGGAATGGCCGGAACCCAAGTGTCTGAGTCTCTCAGGTGCCTCTCAGGGTGCACATTCCCAGGATGCTGTACCGGAAGTGAGGCCACACTCCATCCCAGGCACTCGGACACGGGACGCCCGCGTCGCCTTAGTGCGCTGTGCCCCTGGAATTCTTTATTGCAGATAAAATACAAACTCACTGCAGGCCAGCACAGGTTAGAAAAGAAAAAAATATCCGCACCTCCCCTACTCGGCCCCCCCACCCCCACTCAGACAGAAATACTCGGACCCCTCAGTGCCTATCCAGACTCCAGGTCCCGCCTTTGCTGACGGAAAGCCACCGTCTTTCCGTGGCCTGTACCCCAACAAGCAGACACTCCCACAGCGCCGGCGCCCCGCTGCTGCTCCACGCCAGCCCCCCGCGCGCACCCACCGCACCCTCCACGTCCACACCCTCGGCTCCCCAAGCCGTAGCCTAACTCTTCCTCAGAGACTCCACAGCGCCAGGCGCACAGTAAGTGCTCAACAAAACTTTTCCTACCCGCTAGCCCCGTCTCAGCCGCCACCGCCCGGCAGCAAAGAGAAAAACTGAGGTAACCCGGAACCGGGACCGCCTCGTCGTCGCCACGGCAACCGGAGCCAGGGCTGGGAGTTCCCACGCATGCGTACACTCTCCCTTCTTTCCCGTAACTTCAAGAACTGGACCGGTAAAAAAAAAAAAAAAAAAAAACTGCCAAGAGCCGAGTGCGCATGCGCGGCCGCCTCCGCCTTCTGTCCACCGTCCGCCCTTCAATCGCTTCTGCATAAATCTCGTCCGGAACTGATGCCCATTTCTGGAAACCAGGTCTCGCTAGCCTATCGTTGCTAGGGAGCGGGACGATGGGCCAATCACGACGGGCTGTGTCATTAGCTGGCTTGGAAGAGTGGGTGGGGACAAGGGTCGCGCGGCGGCCAGAGAAAGGAGGCGGGAAGCGAGGCGACGCGGCCGCCGCCGGCGGGGGCGGGGCTCCGGGGGCGGCAGGGACGGCGGTGGAGGGGGCGGGGCCGGGCGGGGCGGGGCGACCGAGGGCCCCGAGCGCCGTGGTGGGCGGCCGGCGGTGAGGGACCACGGGCCAGCGCGGATAGCACTCGCTCGGTTGGGGAGATCAGCGCGCGGCCGGTAGGTGACTGGGCCGGACCCCGGGTCCCGGCGCGGGGCGCTGAGAGAGCGACGGGGAGGGATCTCTTGTCAGTCCCGGGCGGGGCCGCGGCCTGACCGGCCGCCCCGGGATAGTGGTGGTGGTCGGCGGCCCGGGTGGGACCCACGAGCGCCGCCCCGCCGCCGTCCGCCAGCGCGCTCTCGCACGCGCCGTTCGCGCCACGGTCGCGCGCCGTGCTGGCCAGAGCCGCCAGGCCGCGCTCGCCCGCGGGCCCCACGCTGGCCCTGGGCGCGCGCAGGAGCGCCCTGCTTCCCCTTCCTCGGCGGCGGGGGCCACGGCACTGCTCCGCCCCGCGCCCTGGGCGCCCCCCACAGGCCCCGAAGCCGTTTGTGACCTTCCGTGGGAAGTTCTTGGGGAGTCACACCCCAAGACCGGGAAGAGGAGCGGAGTCTGTTCCGGGGGCCCAGCGGGCAGCCGGCTGGCCGCAGCATCCTCCGACCTTCTCCTGACCCCAGCCCTGCTGGAAGCCTGCGCGCCCGCTCAAGACTTCACAGGTCGCTTGAGAGACACCGTTGCTGTGCCGGAGGCCCAGTGTGGCCCGGGCATGTGCAGCCCAGCCGCCGGGTACCGGCGGAGAGAGGCCGCTGGTGCAGTGCAAAGATTCGCCCACCTGTCCTGGAGCCCTCCCTTGGCGCTCAGGAACTTGACAAAGTGCTGGCTTTGAAGGGAGGTTAAAACGTTGTCCTGAAGCTTGCACGAGGTGGGAAGGAGCGTGCCAAGGACCCGAGTGGCATACACGGCAAGATTGTTTTTGTTCGCTGGAGACCATGAACACCCATGAACTCACAAAGCAAAATGAAGTGCAGTGTGAGAGCAGGGCCGCCTTACAAAATGGCAGTCTGAAGTTTATTCCAGGAAAAACGTTGAAAAGCCAGTAGCTAGAAATGTGGTCCTTTTGAAAGATTAGAGGGAGATAGTATCTGAACGTCGGCCGTGTGTTTTCACTTAGTGTGCTCGGATACCTGTAGCCACCTTTCTTCTTTGGGGGTCTGGTGGTCAGGTGGATGGGACCGACCTGAGTGGGAGGTGAGGCACCCGAGGCAGGTGTGTGGCGCACCCGAGGCAGGTGTGTGGCACTCAGACCCTGGGGCGGGCCCACATGCAGAAGGGAGCGAGCGGTGGCTGGTGCGGTGTCTGCTGCTGAGGGGAGAGCACACTCAACAGGTGCTTGTCTCGCTTGGGAGGTGTTTGGATGCACTCTCGTTGCTCTGTGAGTGATGTCCAAGCGAGAGCTCTGGGGCCGCGCCAGGCTTGCGAGTCCTGGGCGCCTTCAGGACATCTGTGTGTGTTGAAGGGTGTGGTGAACTTCTGAGAAGATCTCAAAATCAGAGCCGTGCGAGGGGACTTGAGAAAGTCCGTGGAAAAGTCACACTCTCTTTAGATTCCGTTCTCGCGTGAACTCAGAAGCCGGCGGTGTCTGGCTTGACTTCAGAAGTAAGTCCCCAGGTGGATGTCCTGGGGAGCCAGACAGCAGGAAGCCGTGTGCTCCAGGTGGGCTCCTGCCTGTTGTCAATTACACGGGGCAGCTCCCAAGGGGTTTTTTTTGGCCCCGGTGCTGTCAGCCTGTGGGAGCAGCCCCACAGAGACCCTGCCAACTGAGCCCTCGTCCGGTAGACAGCAAACGTCTGGTGGGCCGTTTGCCGCCACAGAGGGCGTTTGGTTCCTCATTTTGGTTCTGCTGTGGAACACTGACTCCTTTGTGATCTGCCCAGAGTGTTTGTGTAGCATTTCATGCTGAGAAGAGGGCCTGTGCCCGTGGGTTACGCAGCCCTCGGCAACGTTCTGATTGTTTCTGCTGAAAGATAACAGTCGGTGCCTGACCAGGGTCTGGGGAAACGGGAAAAGAGGTGAGAGCTTTCCCGGCGTTCTTTGTGTTGCTGCTGGCACCTCCTGAGAGCAGTGTCATCCCTGGAGCCTGTGCAGTCGCTGTTGGGTTTCCTGCCTCAGTAGACAGCACGTGGGCCTTTCTCGGGCCTGCCTCCCGGCCGGAGGGCTGCCAGTCCCCTCTGCGTCGGCTTGACAGGTGCTCTTTCTGTCGCAAAGTTCAGATGTCTTGAAGCTGAATTCAGTCTGAAATGCAAGGTCCCGGTCAGCTCGCTTCTCCTCCAGGCTGTTGGCCTACCTCAGCTCAAAGCTGGTGTTGACTTTTTTTTTTCCTGGCAAAAGGTTAAAATGCAAGTAAAATTCTGCTTTCATGATTAATAAGTCACTACCGCAGTTGTGTCTGATGCTTCCTGTTTGCCCCATTTTAGTATTTCAGTTAAACTGGAAACACCTGTGCATGATGGGCACTTTTGATGGCCCTGGTGTGAAATGGGTGGAAGGGTGAGGGGAGTTACATGCCGGTGGATTCGGGGATCCCTGAGGATGTCGGCCCTTGCGGCTCTGCACACCAGGACCCAAGGAAGGGAACGGAAGGGGGCTGGGCATCTCTGAGGCGCAGGGGAGTTTTTAGAGCGGTGCACGTGTGAGAGCTTCATTTGCTTGCTGAGCCGGGCTGCGGTGCTGAGAGTGGCAGCTTAGAAACGGAAGGCCAAGGCGCAGGGCGAACGTTGCAGGAGAGCGCCTCGAGGATGGGGCCTTGCTCCTGGGCTGGTCCTGTTGCCTGAGATTGCGGCCTTCTTTGTACTAGAGTTTCCATGTCTTCTCTTGTCTTTTACATCCTTTAATCCCTTGAAATTATGTGACACCCGGAGCGATCTGTAGCCAGTCTTTGTATTTTCTCACAGTACTCAGGTGAAGAAAACAAGGACAAAGGTCAGACAAGTTAAGCCTGGGGAAGAGAAATAAAGTAGAGGAGATATGAAATCATTTTTTTTTTTTTTTTTTTTTTAATTTTTATTTACTTGGAGAGACAGAGAGAAAGGTCTTTCCTCCACTGGTTCACTTCCATCCGCAACAGCCGGAGCGGAAATCAGTGTCTTGCCCCGGGTCCAAGCCCACTTTCCTTGACAGCCAGGTCACTGTCTTTTCTGCCTTGCTCATGCAAGGGTATGGGTTTTCCCCTCAAAACATGTCAACTTGGAACATAACTAAACCAGGATAGTAGCTTTATCTAATTATTGTAATAACCAATGATTAGTATCAATTATCATCAATTATTCATGGATATTAATTGCTAATTAATAAAACGCTAAAAAATAAATTGCCTGTCCTCTGGACAGATCCGTCTGAGCCCATTGTCCAGACTCAGAAACGGAAGCAGAGAGGTCGAGTGGTTTGTCTGGAGCAGTAGAGCGAGTCCACGGTGTCCCCCACAGCGGAGGGGATTTAGGCGGCCAGCTCGGACAGACCTGGTGGGACGCAGGTGTGCCCTCGGGCACTCACCTCCTCCTCCGAGCGTGGGCAGCTTGTCCATCTGTGGGTCAGGAATGTCTGGGGCAGCGAGCGGGTCTGATGCACTGAGCTCAGCGCCTTGCACACTGACACAGCACCGCGGGGCGCAGTGGCTGTGGCTGGTGGCGGCAGTGATGGCAGTAGCAAGCGCTGCCGGTTACTGTGCTGTGACTAGATGTGTTTTCTGTGCGCTGATGTCAAGAAGAGGCCTGCTCTAGACAGGACAGTCATTTCCTCAGCAGCACCTCCAAGGGGGACAGTTCTCCAGTCTGGAGCCTTTAGCTGTCAGGGGCCCCCTGTCTTAGACCAAAGACTGCCGTCACCACACTGCAGGTGAGCCTAAGAAGGCCCGGGCTCGCCCAGAGTTGATCTCAGCGCCAGCACCCTCAGCAGCCTCCAGGACCCCAAGCCACAGCAGAGCTGGGCCTCTTTGGGGCTCCTTTGTGTCCTGCACGTGGTTAAGTAGGCCCTGGCTGTAACTCTGAAGATGCGAGGCAGCTGAGAATCCCGCTTCAGCTCTAAAGCAGCAAGGACTTGTCGTCTAGAGGCCTAGGTGGCAACCTTTGGTGCTGTAGGGTTAGGTTCCCACCACCATGTGGCCCCCTCTGCTCCCCGCCTTCTCTCCTGTGAGCGTGTCTCAGTGAGCTCATCTCCAGTGCCAGGTCTGGAACCCTGGGTCTACACTCGGGGACGTGCAGATTTCCCTTTAAATCTCACAGGAAAAAAAAAAAGTTTCATAAGATATTTTAAATTCATTTTCCTCCTTACCACGAAACAAAAATACAGGCTCCCACCAGGCTGATGTTCCCTTTAAATAACATTTTGTTGTCTCTTGAGTAAGCTGTCTTGATGGCCAAAGAGTCATTTCTAAAGTGAACCTAGTTTTTAGAAAAAATAGATCACCGGATGTCAAGCCCCATGTGCAGCTCAGTTCAGATGAAAATGAAAGCACAGGCCTGGAGCGCACTCAGCCCGTGCCTCCAGACGGGAGGTGAGAAGCTGTGTGTCTGGACCCCGCTCACACAGAGCATTTGTAGGTGTCTTAGTCATTTTCCAAGCGCCTTGCTTAGGTGAGCAGAGCGCTTTCTCTAGAAGGTGAGTCACTCAGGCAGGGCTGTAGGTGACAGGTGGTTTGCTCCCTAGCACAGTTGCAGAGGAAGTCCTGAGCAGAGCTGGTGGAGAAGCCGACTGCCGAAGACCACCCCCTTCTAGCACTAGGGCTTGGGGGCAGGGGCAGGAAGCACAGGAGGCTCCCTAGGCTTGCTGCCAACAAATCCCCTTAGGAGCTCATGTGGACAAGGGCCCTGAGCCCAGCACAGTGCCAGTGCACTCCTGAGCCCGGCCACCTCCAGCAAAGACAGTGGCTCGCTTCCAGTGACAGTCAGCGAAGCAGCAGAGGGGAGCTTTGGCCCCAGGGAGCTGGGAAATCCCTTGGCAGGGAGCAGAGAGAAACAAGCTGTACTTTGGTGCGAAGACCTTTGGGGGAACCCTTTGCCACCTGCCTTCCTTTTAGCCACCTGAAGAGGTTCTGAAGAGCTCCAGCGACTGGGGTGTGGGTAGGTTAAACCCTGGATCTCAGGAAGCATTTAGAACGCCAAGCCTGCCACCACTCGGCTGTCTGCAC